GAATGTTTTTCCCTCCATCACAAACTTTTCTCCTATAATACCCAAGTCATGATAAAAAACAACAACAACAACCTTGGAACTCCTATTACCAATTTTTCTTCTCTTGCTCCATTCACTGTGTAATAGATTTAACAGCATCAGTATCTATATTGAATGCACTGATGAAATCCTCCTGAGGCCAATGTCTTGCTTTTCATTTGTGGTTACAAGGTAAGCATATTCCACTGAAACAGTTCAGTCTTAGTTGGACTTGATGGCTGCATGAAAAGTTGCTCAGACCTTGACTGTCTATAACTGATGGAGCTATTTTTTGCCTGAATATAAATACAACTGAGATTGGCAGGGGAGGAGGAGGGGAAAGAAAGCCCAACCGATGGAGAAATTGTTTGTTTAGTAATGGAGAAGTCGCATCAGTCTGCACATTGAGGTACGTCTTCACTGCTGAATGTGCAGCGCAGCACAAACCACAGATAGCAGACTTGAGTCTGGTGTTGGTAACAGCCTGGTCTTGGCAGCGGAGATCCTAGCAGGGTAATTAGCCCTCACAGCTCCAGGGGCAAACAGTGAGCCCTGAACAGCTGCAATTTAAAGTCACTGTTTTCTTGATTATTCCCTTGCCCTTCCTTAACAGATGGGGTTTATGCAAGGTATGACTCACCTGAACTGACAGAATAAATCTAAATATTCTTCTGTCAAACTGCATCCCAACCATCACTCCCCCTGCACTGCTGCACGCCAGAAAGCCTCCTGGGCTAGCAGAGGTGATTAGGAAAGACTTTCCTTTCTGACTCTTGTGTTACCAGCTCTTACAGCAACTAGCATTATAGCTGAGCACAGGCATACTCTGCTGCTTTTTGGATCGTGGCTAAAGTTTTCCAGGTTCCTGGCTTTGTGGACCACTTTATTTTACAGATGGAATACCTTAAAGTCTGTTAATTGCCTTAAAAATACTTTTTATTAAAGCCAGCTGAAAGCAAAAGCAAAAAAAAAAAAGTATATATCGAAGCAGACAACCCAGAACAAAAATTCTACACAAGAAGTTTGTCGTCATCTTCAATAAAAAAGATACAGGACACAGACTGCTTTTTATTCCTTCACTGTTGCTCCTGTAAGATACCTGACTGGCTTCCTAGCTCCAAAGAGCCCTTAGGTTACTGCTCCTATAACATGTTTTTCCAATTTATATTCCATCTTCAGCACTGATTTGTGGCTTCAAGCCCCACCTGAGCCTCTCTCTGCAATCTCCTCCTTTCCTATGGTTTTCTAACTCAGCCTGAGGGGAATGTCCATGCACCAGCCTCCATCAGCCCCGAATGCCCTGTGACATGTCTGAGCACCTTCATTGCCCAGGCAGCACACAGAGCCATAACTATGAGTTATCAACTTGACCATTACTTAATAACCCAGCTGGAAGCAGAACACTGCTCTCACCTACCTGTTTTTATCTCAGAGCAATGTTTTTTTCCATATACTGCTGAGATTAAAGTCCTTTTTAACTGACAATTTAATTTATATAAAATCATAGAATCATTAAGGCTGGAAAAGACCACAGGGATCATCAAGTCCCACCATCAACCCCTCATCCATGCCCACTAAGGGAAAATTTCACTGCAAGTTGCTCACTGGCCCCGACGTGGCAGCGTGACAAAAGGGCGAGAGTGGGGTTAGGATCAATGAGCCCCACACGCAATATGGAGGAGTACAGGGACAGCTTTCTTAAACAAACCCTCGATCCTCTGACAAAAGAGAAGGCTCGAGGCCCCAAGCAGCACTGCACGAGGTCAGCCGTGTTCCCGGGGCCTGAAGGCCTGCGTCCCATGGCTGGAGTGCCTCAGGCGCCCTGGGAGTGCTGGCAGCTGCCAAGTGACAGTGACGCTCCTGTCAGGTTTATGGCTGCTATTTGCAGCAGTGGGACCGACAGGCTTTTATAAATCATTCAGCCAGGGGAGGGAGAGGGCAGGAGGGTGTCCTGGGGAGCTGCGTTTGAGCCCCAAACCTCATTTTGGGATCTATTTTTCTTTTCTTAGGGGGAAGTTTTGTTTTTTGAATTCCCACTCAGAGTCACTTTTACAAGTTTTACAAGTTTGATTGGACTGCAACCAAATAAAAGACGACTTCTCACAAATGGAAAGCCCTGTACTTCAGCCAGCTCTGCTCTGCAGTTTAATTGCTTTAAAGAGAGGCCATGTGTTGTGCTCTCTCAGGGGTAAAGGAGAAGGTGAAAGGAAAGACAGTGAAGGAAAAAATAATATAAAAACAAAACCAAAACCCCACCAACCCTCAGAATAGAAGGAAGCAGGATCCCCAGCAGCCTGGAACTCGACCCCATAAAGACAAATCCACAGGACAATCTTTCCTTCCTTTTTTCTATGTGCCTTTTCTATGAGCACATCCTTCCAGCTGATGCTCCCCTGCTCTCTTCTAAGCACGCAGTCATAATGCTTTGTGGTAAATCCATGCAACCCAAAAGGTTTTGCAGGTTTAATGGGATGGTCATCTTCTCAACAGTAAAACATTTTACAGGGGTTGAGCCATCGCTTTTAACCTACCAAACAACTCCATCTTCCTGCTCACAGGCTGTATTTTTCAAGTTGCTACTTGATGACTTTTGATGAAATTCTTCAGGTTATGGCTTAAAAGTCATATTCCGTGTTTCGTTCTGATGTGCCCTTTTTGCAGGCTGCCAAGTTTATTATTCCAAAAGCTGGAACTGTTTAAAATAGATTCAGAACATTCTGAAGTGAGCTGTCCTATCACATATGAACTGCTGTTGTGCATCAGTGCTGACTACCAGTAGCCAGTTATGCATTTTTAGATTGAGTGCATTTGAAAACCACGGCCTCCTTCTGTCCCCAGCACTGACAAACAACTGGAGCTGGGTCTCCTCATCATCCAATAGCTGCTTGCACAGCTGTACAGGTATGAAATAAAGATACTCCAGTGGAAAAGGAGTGAGACACAAGTGTCTGTGTCTTATTTTCTCACAGAAGAGAAAGGCAGAACAAATTTCTGCAGTTGTGCAGCAGATACAAGCATCAGCCCCACTGACTTGCCACTACTCTGCCTCCAGTGGAAAACGTTTCCACGGCCCTGTCATGGCATCTCATCTCTGTGGTCTGTGTGCACTGAACCGTAGGAGCATGAAAGACAGCAAATCCCTCCTTCACGCCTCCAGAAATAAGGTTCTATTCCCATTCTGACTCCAATCTGACAATTCCCATTTCAAAAAGTGCCTTTACGAACAAACAAACAAACCCCAAGCAAACCCAAAACTACTGAAACCTATTACAGCTCAGCATTAACTTCACTGCACTGAAAAAAACTGTGGGTGTTGGGTATACAATTTCTGTCACATGACTGCACCTCTGGAAGTGATGAACTTCTACAGCACTGCTGCATAAGCAGTGAAGCCTTAAGTCAGTTTATTTTGCCTATCTTGAAAGTGAAATACACCCCACCATTTAAATGATGGAGAGTAAGAAAAAATAGATGGCTCAGCATCAATTAGCTGTTTTGTTGTATTTCTACTCTAGTCCAAGAAACCCAAACAGAAGATGTCTTAGTCTTGATTACCATCTTCTTTTAACCTCTTAACCTCTCTCCAATCTGTTATATAAATTATTTCAGATTTTTATCAAAGCTTTTTGACTTCGTGGCAAAAATAACCCACACCAAATCTCAAAATAATCTGGGAGAGACTGGCAGTACGGGACAGAGTGATGCTGATCCCACCATCACACATCCCCGTTTTGAGAACAGTGTGCAGGGACTCATTTTGGGAGGTCTTATAATGCAAGAATGAGAAATGTTGGAACTCAGACCTCTCTCCCCCATGAGTTTCACATTTACTGCATAGACCTCTTAAATAAAAACTCCTACAAAGACACTTCAATGATTATGTAATAAAAGCACAAAACTTAACCAAAACCACTTACTTAATTTAAAACTTTTGCATTTTTCTCATCTGCTCTGAAGAATAGGTATTTGTAATTTTCATTTATTTATATGAAAATCTCATGAAAGACACATACCAGATTGTGTCTGACAGACTGCCACGTATTATTTCCAAATTCCAGTTAAATGAAAAAAGCAGAGAGATGATTCATGCTGAAACTCCCATTTGAATTTACTCAGCACTGAGGAGCTAGATAAAAAAGAGACTAGATACAGAACAGTGCATGGCTGGACAGAGAGAAAATTGTATAGGCTGATTTAGCCTTCAGAGTAACTCAGATCTATCTCCATGTGAAACAGTAATTCATTTGGTCTCCACGTAGTCAGAGACTTAGATAAGTGGGATGGCAAGCTGAACCTTTTCCAATTTCAGCTTTCATGCTGTAGAAGATACAGCCTACGATTTGCAAAAATAAAATGACTATTCCTTACACTTGCTTTTTCCCTTGGTCTGGAAAAAGATTATTACATTGCAACTACTTAAAATCTGTGCCTGCTGACAGTCAAAGCTCTTTATTATTTAACTATCAACCAACATGATATTTTGGGGAGCAGTTGCAGATAACAAAGCAGGTCTATTGCTCCAAATCTCCCTGTGGCGTGGCATTCAGAAGAACCCAATAAAGACCCCTCTGTAACAGACATGTTTACTGAAAGAAATGAACGTGGCATTTAAAAGTAAGCTATTTAAAAATATAGCATCTCCTAAATGGGGAGAGGAATCAAAACATCAACAGCGGAGGCAGAAACGGGTTTAGCGTAAATAACTTGCTGAGTTTACACTTGAACTGTTATATGTTAAAATAGATGAAGACAATTTCTTTTCTTGAACAGCATAGCCAAGGTCAGATTAAGCTTGAAGACACAGAATTGCAACAGAAAATGATAGAAGGCAAAATCATCAACGTGATTCCGAAGATTGTAGTTTCTAGTTTCTCCTCCACGTACTGACCAATTAATTAAGCTATTAAGAGACTAATGGCATAGTTTCTTTACCTCTTCTTAATTAGCAGGGACAATAATATATTAGTTTAACAGGAGCTCACCAGTGGGGTGTCTTTCCCTCCAACAATGCTGAGTCCAAGTCCTGATCGACCCTTAGATATCTCTATAGTCATCTCCTGCCCAGGAACAATAGGACAAGTCGCTGGGTCCACGGGCAATGGAGGTGGTAAGATATCTAAGAACACAAAAGGGTAGAGGAATAAGTCACACTATCAGACAAGAGAAAATAAAACAATTTAAGAAGTCATATGAGAGCAACTAATTAAACTCTCTTGTTTTGCTCTTCATCCAATCTAAATCAACCTTGAAGATCACGGTGAGTCATTTTTCAAGTCTCTAAATTAGAACAACTCCAGAGCTCTAGGAGGAAATGTTCAGAGAATATGTCTGGGAGGACATTTAATTCAGATACGACCTATGCAAGTCAGATAACCATAGCAAGGTGTATTCCAGTCAGGGTATATAAGGCTATTTCCCAACGCTATAGAAATGCCAGGACGTCTCAGATTATCTTTATTTTCATTAAAAAAATGAGCAACACCTTCAAAATCTCAGATTAGGTATTAAATACATACAATATCACTGAAAAAAAAAAATAGTATTTCGTACTGCGGTTTGTGATTTCTGTGTCTGGAGAGAGATAAGTAGGTGCTGACACCAGGGATATCTCCTGCAAGTTGGCTGATACTTTTGCTGAAGATTTGGATTGTTTCATCTGTTTAAGGACCTAAAAGTGAAGCACAGTGGAAGCACAAGAAATCAGTTATCAAACAGAAAAACGCGTTAAGGACCAGTTGTCTCCCTGATTAGCATGACCTACTAAATCTACCAAGTCAACAGACAGGAAATATAATAAGCATAGGTGATGAACTGAAAACATTCAATTTAAAAATAAATGACAAATCAGAAAGACTGGATAACTGCGCTTCCAGCAATGCTTGTGTAGGAAGCTTGTGTGAACAGAACTTCACCCTCCTCAGTGGTGCCTCTCATGCCAAGTAACTGCTTTGTTTGTTTGAACAAAGAACATTCCTGACGTTAGCCTGTCTGACTATTCGATGTACTGAAGGAGAAGGAAATCATTTTTAAAGTCCCATCTCTCTCAAAAATTATTCTTGTATTTCTCCAGTTACCCCTCGGCCCCCCTAAATCACACAATCCATGGCTAAATCCAGCTCTCTAACATAAATACACCTACATTTTCTGGGAGCTGCTCCTCTACTTCCAACTGATCCACCAACACTGGTTTGTCAGCTTTATACTTCACATCCTAAAAAGTCAAAACAGAAAGTGAGGTGTAATTGAAAATGTAATATTATCTTAAATACAATATTTTCCAAAGAAATGGCTATTCTGGTTCAACACAGTGACATTTCATCATCACTGGAAGTACACTTCTAGTGCACACAGCTGAAGTCCAGAAGTTAGAAAAGTTACTTAGAAAAGAATTAAGAATTACTGGAAATTACTATGAATACAGAGATTAACAAGAATTACTAAAAATGCATAACATTTTTGGAGTGGATTTTCTGGGAAGGGATTATCCTGCATTGTTTCTATTGTTCCTGAAAAACGTGGAACTAGAAAGGATGGAAACACATCTGTGGAGTGATGGGATCAGCCGTTCCCATGTGACATGGAAACACACAGGTATAGACCATACCGTGCCTATAGCTGAAAGGAATTCAAAGTCATCTGTTCTCTCTTTTTTTTAATTGCTTCTCAGTAGAACTGAACATACTGCTTGTACTTAAATAAAGCAACTGCTTACAATGCATAAAGCAGCCTCATCAGGAATGTCTCAAACAATGGCACAATCACAGGCACCACTTGTATCCTAATTTCTTTCCACGCTCTTGCAATACACTAAGGAACATTTTTTCTTCTCCAAGTGTCTCCAGATAGTTACAGTGCCCTCCCTTTGTTATTTCTATGCCAAGCCTGGGCCACTTTGATCACAGCATTAGATTTGGTTATCTTACCTCATGTTAAAAGCACCGATAAGCAAATTTTCTGAAAAGCTGAATACCAAATTCAAAAGACAGAGATATTCTGCAGCTCAAAAGAATTTCTAATTAAGATGACAATTCATACATAAAATAAATCAAATGTTGGGTTACCAAGCTTGGAAATACTGGCCTTATTTCCTGTTGCCATATTACATTTATTCATGCCAAGCCCCATAGGCTTGACTCCTGATTTTTTTTCTTGCTGTGCTCATACAACAGAAACTGTTACCCAAAAGGATAATAAAAAAAGTGAGAAAGAGTGATCTGAATCTCATGTTATCAGGAGTACTGGCAGAGAAGTGGGAAGGTTGCTTTGCCGCTTTATGAGAGATTGCTTTAATGAGCAATGCAAAATAATTCCATACTTCCCTTTTCCATTCTGATACACAACTAAAATGTGAAACTTCACCTTTAAAACCCTCTAATCCTCTCCACTGAAGCTCAGACTATGCTGGAGCCATCCGGACAAAATGAAGAAATTTACAGCCACTCCAACACTGCATTGCACACTCAGCAATTGCCACAAGCCTGCGACCCAGCCGGTTTAATGGGATTCATTTTCCCAGCTACATTCAGAAGCATTCTTACAAAGCTCCTCCTCTTTGTTAGTGCTTTAAGAACACCTTTTCTGTTTGTCTCAAGGACAGATTGCTGTTCCAAGTTCAGATCTTTAAGCAAAGTGAATCCACCCCCCCAATGAAGCTCAGTATGATTATCCCGCCGGCGAGTGACGCACGCGCTGCCAGGATATGAGGTGTTTCAAAGCACATGCAACAGCTGTTCAAGCCACTTTCACCTTCATAAAGCTAGAGGTTTGGAGAATCTATTGATTCCCCCCAGCACCACCGTACAGAAAGTAGGACAGCAGTGCGCAGAGCACCACGGCCTGCTATCAGGACACCTCAAACAGCAGCTAATAAGCGTGCAACCTTTGCCTAACGCTTCCACTGGCTCCAGTTCAGATACAAAGTTGTTTTCTTTCCCCTTCTTATCATCCAAGTCCACAACAATGTCCATTACATAACTTTAATAAGTATAAAGTGATGAAGTGACAACAAAAAGTATCTCGGGAGAGGCTGACAAATTTATCAGCTGCACAGGATGACAGGAATACTTTTTTTATTGCTGCTGTCGCTTGGTGAGACATCCTGTCTGTGATCTGCACTGCATGCACTTGCAGAAGATCTGCTGATAAGCACATACTTTCTGTTTACTCAGTGAACTTGATCTCACATGTTGACTTTTACATTCCTGATTTATCCTGACATAAGACTGAGAAATTCAATAACAATGTTGAAGCAGCATTAGCTCCAGCAGCAGCCATCACGCCATGAAAAACAAGGCACTGTTTTCTTTTGCCTCAACAGCCACTACAAGATTGCAACAGAAATCTGTCTTCCTCAAAACACCTCAAAATCTTGTGGTGCAATTGCAGTGTTGAAGTCTTAATGCCACTATGACTCCGAACCCATATCCTGCTGGTCTGATGAGTCTGATGACAACTAAAATTTTTCAGCATTTATGAAAATAAGATAGGCTTTCTAGAAACATTTGCCATGTAATTTTAAAATCTGACATTCAGAAGCTAGTCTCCAGTATTTTTCATCCATTTATGCTCTCAAATTAAGGGTTGGCCCAACTGAAGCCCCAAGGTACTGAGCAGTCTCATTCACAGACATTCAAACACTTGTCTAGATCTACCTCCCAGTCCTTAAGTTTTGGTATCTATTTATTAAATGGAAAAAAATATATATATATAAAAATCAATACATCACATCTAAGCAAAGTGCCATGGAACAGAGGCAGAGCTGCACAGCAGCACCAAGACTGGCACTCCTGGTCTTGCCAGTGACCTGGGGCAGGTTCCTTCCCGGCTGGGCCTGTGATTTCTATCCTTTCTTGCTTCATATCAAGCCTGAAAAGAAGCTGCCAATATTTTCTGTGCCTCCTGCTGTCCCAGTGGCATCTTACCTCCATGCCTATCTTGGGTTGCTGCACTTTTTTTCCACTTTTAGTTTTTTTGCACTAAATTCATGTTTCCTCCATTATCTTTCAAAAAACTGCACAGTACCATTTCCTACATGAAGAGTACATATCCCACATTAAAAAAAAAGATCTCTTCATAAAAAAACTTATTTTGCATCTTTTTTTCCACTTAGTCCATAACCCATCATTTCTTTTTGCCAAGTTGACTAAGAGCAGCAATAAAAGCAAGTGAGTTGCACCTACAAATGAACACAAGAAAACTCTTGATTCATTTAGTACATCTCAGCCCAAATGAGGACCTCTGAACAAAGCTAAGAAATATTTACATAAATAATTCAATTTATCTGCAATTTGTTAGCAACATGAACAAATTCATTTGAAAGTTGGTTAATTTTGATACTGAAATATTTACTTGTTATAGGACACTATAAATCTGTTCACCACATCAGAACATGATGGAGCCAGAAGAAATTAGGGAAAAAAAAATAAGGAAAACAAGTGTCAGTTTTCCATACTGAAGGACTGCACATACAAAGTGTGCACATAAAGCAAGTCTCAGAGAATGCTCTCCTTGCAAAAAGAGTGAGTGGACTGCTGGGAATAGATTGTCTCAGCACATTGTATGTACCTCTAAGTTAGTCACTTCTCAGCACATAGTTTTCCATTTTAAACTTTCAACGCAGAGTCCAAAGAAGAGATTAAAAGTGAACCCTGAAGGACTTTCACGTTTCTCATAATGCACAATCCTGACATACTAAACAACAGCAACAAAAACCTATCTGTATCAATGAGAAGTTCAGTATTTATTACAGTGCATACTGACAGTAACACATTAAATCAGAAGTTATGGGCTCAATGCACAAATTACTGATAGTAACTCTATAACTATGTTATTCAGGAGGCAAGACCAGATTATGATAACAGCCATTTTGGCCTTAGAATTTATGAAGCTATGAATATAAATAAGAAAATGATTTACAGAGCGTATATTTTTTCTGATGTTTGTCACACGTGGATAGCAAGAGTGGAAACCAAATCCCTTAGCAGAGAAAGAGCTCCAGAGACAGCCAGAACACTGCTTACAAATACTTAGCTCAATATTTTAACAAATTATACTGAAGTCACAACTCATCAAAACACACAAGGAAAGCTATGTATGTAAAGCAAAAGATTTGATTGTGCTCTTACACATATTGGATATTATTCTACAAAAGTGTGCTGTCACACTCCAACCAAAGGCAGATAAAAAACCCGAAACAATTCTAAGCTGTGATTGTTACTGAGTATTGATTTAAGTCGCTTACAGCTTTGCTAGGCTCCTCATCAGACAGGCTTTTCATGACAACGTCCAAGCTTGGGTCTTCTTCACTGCTTGGGGTTTCAGTGCAGCTGTGATCCTGGTAGAAAGGAATGAAAAGCAGTCTTTAAACAGAGCTACAAACCCCCATAACAGCTGAAGTAAAAAAAAAAAGCCAATGTTACCTTTCCTTTTGTTTTTCTAAACAAGTAGCAGCACAAAAAAGTAAATAATAATAATAATAAAAAAAAAAATCCACAATTAAAGCATCCTAATGTCAGGAGACAAATAAGTGACACAAGTTTTGAAAGACAGACCTCAGTCTGCTCTCAGCCAGCCCCAAGTACAACGAGGCAGTCTGATAGCAGCACCCAGCAGCAGATCTGGATCAACATTCAAGGCCAGATCAAACTGGAAGCTTCCTGCAGACCACTGGAGAGGGGACGAGTTCCCCACACGCTCAATGTGCTGAAGAAATCCCACTGTTCCTTCCTGCCTGCTGAGCGGGTTGGCAGCATCAGGACCGAGTGCTCTGCCCTGGAGGAATCGCCAAGGCCAAAGCCCTTCGACTCAGGGCACGTGGCCACCTTGCTCAGCAGGCTTCAGCCTGGAGCCACCTGAACTGTCCTCCACCTGAAGAGCAAATGTCTCCTCAGGATTCAATTACTTCTGCGCATCGCTGAGAGAATACTGAGAAGAACATTCAGAGACAGCTGATGGAGAACGAATGAGTGAAATTAATGGGGAGAATACTGATGTGGTTAGGCCCAAGATGTGCTCCTGAAGCTCCTTCTGCATAGGCTCTGGCTTTCAAAAAATCATAGAATAGCTTGGGTTGGAAGGCACCTCAAGGATCATCAAGTACCGACCCCTGCCACAGGCAGGGCTGGCAGCTGCTAAATCAGCTACTAAAGCAGGTTGTCCAGGGCCCCATCCAACCTGGCCTTGAACACCTCCAGGGATGGAGCATCCACAACCTCTGGGCAGCTGTTCCAGCACCTCACCACTCTCTCGGTCAAAAACATGCCCCTGACATCCAATCTAAATCTCCTGTCCTTTAGTTTAAAACAATTTCCCCTTGTCCTATCGCTATCTAGCCACATAAAAAGTCGTTTTCCCTTGTGTTTATAAACTCCCTTTAAATACTAGAAGGCTATGAACACATGCTGCACACATGCACTGCATCCAAGGTATAACAGGTTTCTCTCTTTCTAAAGAGACCTCCACCCTGTTCAGGACTGCAGCACAACATCTTGTACCACCAACTGAATGGATTACTGATGGATGAAACACTTTGAAAACTGATCTTTGAGAGCAACGTACTTTGCTTTTGGGAGTATGCCCACAGCACTACACCACCATGCAGTCTTATCCCGTCTTTCATGCAATGGAGGAAGATTTATTTTAAGACTTATTTACTATTCTGCATTTTCCATATTAGAATGCATATTAATATGCATTTCCATATTAGCATGACAGAGAAAAGATGAAGAACAGTATGTGGTACCTATGGCTCCCTGATACATCTAACATTAGTTATGCTATTTAAGATGATCTGCTTAGATTCACGTTCAGCATATGTACTACCATGATAAATATTTACTCTGCATTTCAAGATACAAAAGCACAGTCAGGCTTTCTTAAGACACAAACAGCTGACAAAAGAAAGCATTGTCAAATTCTATGCAACAAGAGTGTCTTTGGGGTACATGTATTTCATTGAATAAAAAATGCCAAACTGGAAGTAAAACACCACATTTACTTCTGAAACGCATATAGTAAGAGCTTGCCAGAAATGCACGAAGCTCAGCCCACACATCCACCTTGAAAGGCAAACACTGCACATAAGACTGAGCTTTTTTTGCTTCCACATGCTGGGAGAGTCTAATTACAGTCTTTTGGCCACAGAACAGCATGTGACTAAACAAAGCTTTGTGGTCCATCCCAAAGACACAAATATTGAACAAAGCTTGGAACAAATGCAGGTATTAAGGAGTCAACAAAAATGGAATGAACTCGGGCGCTGTTAATTGTAGAGTAATTTGCAATCCACCAGCTGCACCTGGAGCATTCTGCTTTGATGGGGAAAGAAAAGCCAAAGCACTGCCCCAAAATGACTCAGATCCAAACAAAACCTGAGCAGCTCTCTCCCAGTGCAGTGCAGCTCTGTGTCTGTATGGAAGCAGCCATTGGTGTTCATACAATCCAGAAAGCAATAGCAAGGGTGGGACCAGGAAAAGCATCCAGCTCTGCTGAGTGTGGCCTGCTGCTGCAGGGTCACAGTAATGCCCACTGAAGTACCAGGAGTTTAGTGCACCTGCATCTGTCGACTCAAGGCAAGACCAAACCCCAATTGAATTATAAAGCATCTTTTGCTTTATTAGCGCAAATAGAAATAGAATTAAAAAGCAACAGTAAGGCTAAACACGTGCTTTATCTATAAAATTTAGTTACACTGTATTGAGATGTCAAAATGATAACAATGGGGTGACACTGCAGGGATTCATGATGCACAAGGGAGCAATCAGGGGCCAAGACAGCAAGAACAGTAAAGAAAAACACTGCTAACATTACCACGACAAGGCAGTTTCTACACTGGAAGATTGCACGCTACATCAGAGCATGGAAGCTCTCTGCTCAACCAGCCCACCTGCTTCTACAGCAGAAAAAATTGGTCAGGAAGGAGCGACAGCAGTGCTGGGGCACAGGACAGAACTGTGGACCAATGCACCCCATTGTGCTGGGATTGGCTCAAGATGCCTCTCGGACTGGAGCCATGTATGCAGTGAACTCTTCAGCACTGCTGTTGCTTACCCCTACTTCATTTTTAGTGCTGCATGCAGAATATTCGCAGAGAAACAGAACACAAAAAGTGTGAGGTTTCCCCTGCCAAAATATTTATATTCTGTAAGAAGGTATCCATGCTCCAGGCCAAGCACCGCTGCTGTAGTCTGCAGAAAGAAGCAGGACAGGAGACAGCAAAGTTTTCATTCAGACACATCTCCTCCTGCACAGCAATAACCTGATTAACAGACGTCATTACTGCACGCTGGCTCTTTCAGTAATGATGAGAACAATAAAAAAAGAGATGGGGAAAGCACACCCAGTAGGTCAGATTCCTACCCAATGCATTTTATGATCCAGGGTATAATTAGACAAGGTGCTTGTATTTATAATGAGCTGGTAATGATGATTAATCTATCTAATTAAGCAACCCCAGATTAAAACAATAACATCAATCCCCCAGATGAAAAACAGAAACAGAACAAGTCCCAACCCATGAACCTTACCTCAATAGAAGGGTGGGTGCTGGTAGGCAATGGGAAAGGAGTAACAGCCATCTGATTGACTGCATCTTCATTTCTGTACAACAAACAAGCAAACAACCAACTTATTACAAGGTAAATCACAATGGCCAAACGTTTCCTTTGAGTTGTTTTTGCTCATTAAGGAAACATTACTACTTGCATAAGAATTGCTTCTTATCAGAAGTTAGAAGTTAGAGAAGCATTTCATTTTTGCTTGTGTTCTTTGCTAGCACACAGGTTAAATTCCTTCTTGGGACTGCAGAAGTTTCAGCTGAGAGATCCTGACACTGCAGTCTTTGGAAATCTAATTTAATGTGGATTATCAGAGGATGCAGCTGGAATTTATGGCCCCAACATATCAATAGGTGTGCTAATGCTCTGTTAGCCTCTTCTAATAATGTCTTTACTTGTTAACTACTTCTTTAGGCTGACCAACATTCACACTGCTGAAACATCAAACCTTCTGCAAAAATAGACTGCTTTCTCTTTTTTTTTTTTGTCCATACTTGCTGTGGTCTTTTCTAAAAGACTCAACACAAAAAGTCAGACAAGTTTTTAGCCAAAAGAACTTCCCTTATGAAAGAGAGCATTGATTTCCAAAGATGCTTATTACTTATGGCAACTTCTGCACTGTCAGGACAACATCCGATTACTCTAACTTTCAAAATCCTTTCTTATTCAAGACCGTTCTGCCTTGCTAATGTTCAACCAGCATGTGGTTAAAAATGCTTTATAGAATTGCCTGAAAAAACCCAGAAGTGTCATTTTATCTCTCAAGAGTTAAATTCACGAAGCTCGTACGTTCTGATTACTGCAAGTCAATGCTATAAATCAATAGCTCTCAGCAGAGCAGCGTATGGGAAATTCAATCACAGGCATTTGACATGATAAATCCTACAGGCAAACGTTAGTGAATTAATTTACTTATCTTCAACCAACCAGCCACACAATTCAAAGGGATCCGCTCTGTGTTGCTCAGTTGCTTCTGAATGGGCTCCCAGCTCTCCTCCTGGCCCTGCTCGAAGGCTGCACCGTGAGCAGAACCAGCCCGGGGTGCACACACACACATGCACAGGGCCATGCAGAAAGCTGAGCAACACACAGAATGAAGCCCTCAAATTTCATAAGCGTTTCAGAATCTCCAAGTTCACTTTACTCCATAAAGCACATTAGGCAAGGACATTTTGCTTCCTCTTATGTTTCAGTCACACCAATCTAATGACATCGCTGTTCTAAGCCAAAAGAATAAATCAGCAAACGTAAGGTGTCTGTGAGACCAAGCAATTATTGAACTGTACAAAATTTTCTGACAACACTTTATTTGGAGCACAAACTGGGAAAACCAGCACTTCCCTAGCATCCAACATGGGCTGTGCGACTTGCAATAAGCAGCAAACTTGGAAATAACTATAAACTACTATAAACTTGCATGAGAAGCATCATTCTAGGAATTATTAGACATAAGCTTCATGATCTGCATGACAAAGGAGCATGCAATTAATACAAAATAGTTTCTATTTTGTATATACACACAACATTTTTTGGTATTTTTCTTCTCCCCCTCATTGCTGGGATAACATTTTTTTGCAGCTTTAAGCGGATGGCCGATTTTATTCCAAGCAATAACAAAACCCCTTACAGCCACCGTTCCTCTGGAGGAAAAAAAAAAAAAAGCAAAAATAATAATAAAAAAAAATGAGGTTACAAAATGTTTCAACTTGTAATCTCCCCCTGCTAGGGCTCCTTCATATTTAAATACTTTAATGCTGCTTCAAAGGAGAATGCTTCAAAGCTGAATCAAAGAGTGAGCGTATTTTAAAGTGACGCAGCTAATAATAAATTGCTCTTTCTGCTCTCCACTTCCCTGAGTGTCCTCAACTAAAACATGTATTTATTTACAACTAAAAGGAGCGATCGCTCCCTTTTGATGCTGGAGCAGACAGCTCAGACGTCTGAACATCACATTCAAATTACAGTAACTGCAAAAAGAACATTTGATATATTTGCCAAGAGCTGCTGCTCAGGCGCTCCCCTCCGTTATCCGCAGAAACAATAAACATCCCCTGCTCTCGTCCAGCCCTTACCCTGGTTTGTGCAAAGCACCAGGCAGCAGCCCTCCCTGCAGCTGTTTGTATTTCACCAACTCTGCATAAAGCAAAGGGGGACAGAATTCAGCGTGCTTTCATTGCTTGTAACCTCTGAGGATGAGCCTCTGAGTGACAGTGAGGAGACCTGGCTGGAGGCTGAGAGCCCACACCATAAACACAGGAATGCATGGCTTTCTTCATTGCAAAAACGACCTTCTGGCAGCAAGATCAAAGCAGGGCATAAGTAGCAAAGGCCCTGTAAAGGTTACAGAGCTCCTGCACTTACAGATTTACTTGCTTGAACTGCCGAATCTCACTGCATTTCTTTTCCTTCCAAGTCTAAGCGGAACCCCTGAGCGTTCCCTGTCCATCCTCACTGCCCAGTTTTGCTCCACCTGACCGCACCTCTGCTGAAAGCTTTCCTTCTAAAGACAATAACCTGCAGCCAGAGCCTCAGCCAAATTCAGGTTAATTTGCTCAGAGGATGAACATACTTGTAATTGTTGCATACAGGTTCCCCACCTTCATTTGAGAACTTTTTTTTCTACTGGAATGACTCGTGTTTATCTTGGTTTGTGATGGTGTAGCTCACTGCCACAGGGTGCTAAAATACTTGTTCAGCACACTGAATGGCATTCATCTCCTGTCTGAAGCTGAGCATCTCATTCGAGATATCGTCCACACTTCCTCTATAGTCAATGTTAAACAAAACCAACCCCAAGCCAGATGCACTCCAAAGGGCAATCCAGCTGAGCAGGTTGGGAAGAACTGAACTCTTCTCTGATGGTTCCTGAAGCTGCCGGCTAACAGAAGTCCAGGTGACTCCCTGACACCCAAACAAAGGGAGATATCCTCCTCAACTAACTTCAGCTCCATAGTTTGTCAGCTGTTAAAAAGATCATTTCACAAAAGCTTGAAGCTGGCTGTGAATGCTGCTGTTCACAATAGAAAGAATGCCTAGAACTGGGAAAAACAAAACCAAAACAAAGCACAAAAAACAACCCAAAAAACCCAGTAACTTTGCATTAAGACTTCTTAGTTAGAAGAGATCTGAAGAGCAAGTGAGGGGAATGATGCTTGTCCAGCAGCATCAGGACTCCCTCTGGTTGTGACAGCTGTGTGCACACACACATGTAAGTTAATGAAAACCTAGATCACCCACATCCTACTTGTTCCAGAAAACAGAAATCAGTCTGGGGTCCCATGTTTTCTTGCCTTTGTTTTCCTCCAGGAATCACCTCTTTGGAGAAGAGCTGAAGACTGAAGACGCACAGAATTGTCCCTTCAGCTGGGTCAAGGCAAAGATGTTTGCACTGTGCATCATCTTGGTTCAGTGACCAAGTGGCAGCAATGACTGTCGTGCAGCCCTCACCTCAGCCATCCAAGGCCAGGCTGGATGGGGCTCTGAGTGGTCTGGTCTAGTAGGAGGTGTCCCTGCCTGTAGTGAGGAGGTTGGAACTGGATGACCTTGAAGGTCTCTCTTTCCAAACCTTTCCTTTCTGTGATCCTCAGAGCAGAGGTCTTTCCTTTGCACATCACCATAAATAACAAGGGATTTGCCTTCACAACTACACCTAGAAGTGGAAGGAGGGGGAAACAGACAGATGGGGGGACCTCCCTGAGAAACTCCAACCTCCTCATCAGAAAGCAGTGACGAGGGGACAAAACCCTGCAGCGTGGGGGAACAACTCAGGACTGTTAACAGATTGTATTTAAGCAGGCAAAATTCTACAGTACTTTACTCCAAAAACATTTTTCATCACAGCATAAGACAGCTTTCTTTTAAGAAAAAAAGGTATACACACAGTCACAGAATTGAACACAGTGGGATAATGGTCTGAAATCAGTGGCGTTCACTTTGATTCAAGCACTCAAACTGTATTTGATCTGCTTATTATACCAGCACTGAAGCACCAGCACAGATTAAAGGCAGTTAATTGAGCATGGACAAAACACCGAGTTTGCTGAATCATAGAATTCTCACTGCAGAAGAACTTTCCAATATAAACTGGTCCTCCTACTCCAAATGCACAATCTAACGGTTTTATTTTGCATCTTAAATGGATGAACATTAAACGTGTGAACCAAAAACTCAAAGGACACAAAACCCATTCTATTTTGGGAAGTAGGGCATAGAGACTCCTACAAAAAGCAAGCCTCTGTGATGACTGCAGCCTGCATTCGCCACAGGAGTATGGAAGCTAACATAGTGCTGTATGACTGTGGTCAGAAATGCCAGCGGACACTGGGTCAGAGCAAACACCTGAACAGAGCTGTTTCAGCACATGAAGACCATGCAGTGCTTGGGCAACTGGTTTGGCTGTCAGACTGGGTGAGCACGTTAAACATCTTGAATTTGTTCCTGTAGAAGGCAATGAAGCATGAGATGCAAATCTCAAAAAGAGGGAAAAAGTGACTAACTGCAGATCCTTCAGATGCTGTTACAAGCTTGTGTAATTAATGAGACCTCTGGGAACCGGTGCTGTGTTAAGATCTATATTTTGGAATCTGGCCAAAATCAACTCTTTTAAATAGCCATTGTCAGTTTAATTGAGGAAAGGATGCTCGTAAAGCAGAGTAAGAAACCCTCAAGTACAAAGGGACGCCTGTGATTCTCACAACACTTCTGCACTGTCTCATCAGCAAAAATTTCAGGAAAGAGTGGGAATACAATCCTAACACCACCTGAGTGTAAAAACAAATGCTTGAAGACTTTTATGGTGCAGACTGCAATTGGGTTTTTAATAGAAAGTCAAAAAGACTGAGGACACCTATTTTCCATGCCTGTAATCATCCCCTCCCTCCCTGCATCTCCAATATAATCTATTCAATGACATATATTACATTTCCCATAGAAAGTTTTTTTTTTTTTTTTAATGCCCAGGATTTTCTGGGCTTCTTTTGTAACTGATTAAGAAGTTGGTGAAAACATCCCCCTGCCCTGCAAGTGAACCAAAACATCAGGAATAGGAAACTCCTGACACAGTTTCCTGCTTCAAAGCAAAGCAGCAGCTTGCTTATCACAGAACATCCTTCATTTGAAGAAAGTAAGGCCCCAGGAAATGAGAGAAAACACTTTTTAGTAATAGATAGTCCAGGAGGCCCACCAGTTTTGCTTTCATGCCCTAGATCAGCTCACTCAAGCACGCAGGAACTTTTTAGCCTGCAGAAAAGTGAGTTTATGGAAAACTGATCTACTCAGGACTTATGTTGTTGAAATCAGAATACGAGCATCTTCACGAAGACCAGCCCCAACTCCCTGTTAATTCCTGCAGCACACATCACTCTGCTACGGTCAGCTGCAGCCTCTTACCATGTGTTCCAGAATGCAATTTAGCTCCTCAACGTTACAGGCCTTCTACCTTTACAAGGAAGCAGAATCAGTAACAGCACTCAAGAGGAAGAAAGTATTACTTCTGCTGCGAGGGCTCCTTCTTGTAACAAACGTAACGGTATCCTGCTCTTTCCACACCATTAAAGCTGAGGGGAACACATCTGAACCCAGCCAAGCAGCAAAGTGACCAGGAATGCTCTCAGCTGGCTGCACTCAGTGCTCTGTTCTCATCTGGAAAGCTGCAGCACACATACGTGGGAGAGATGGATGGAGACCCACGATGCCTGCAGCTCCTCACGTTTAGTAGAGCTGGCACCACAGTGCATCAAGTAGAGGCATTTCAGTACCTCCATTTTAGATCATAGTTTTAAAATGGCTTGATGAAGCAAGCAAAGACCTCTACCAAACTGCACCTTGGGCAAGACTTCTGCAATTGGCACAGCCTTGTGTTTATGCATTTGATCACACCCACCCACTTTGAGGTCTAAAGCACAGGAATTGGTAGCATCAAGGCTCATAGAATATATTCACAAGAAAAACCTTCTCCTTAAATTTCAGTTTGAAGAGAGACAAGTTAGCTGTGGTGAAACTTTGATACCCCCTCTTACTAAAAGCACCGTTTTTCCTTGCATTCTAGACAGTGCTCTAGTTACCAACAATGTTCTCTCACAGGGGGAATTTCCTTTCACTGCTGTTTGAATGGCTGCTGGGGTCAAGCGAGCAGACTTGTCAGTTGTCAGCGTGCTCCAGTGCAAGGCAGAGAGCAGGGACAAGATGCACGCTCTTTGTAAGTGTAAAGATAAGCTTATAGCCTCAACTGCAGCATGTATGACAAGTTTTTTTTAAGTGCTAGGGAGAGCGACAAGAAATATCCAATGGTATTTCCAGTATCTATTAATTATGCCTGCCACAACAATTTTATGCCTTGAAATTTACTTCTATATACAGAACTTGGAAAAGGGGAAATATGGATAGAACTAACACTGTTTTCACCTCTTCCCATATCCATGGGAGACTCGAGCTAATGAGCAAGCCCTGCTGCATCTCTGCAGAGCCTGACCCTCAGCAGGCAGCTGCTGCTTGGGGCAGCAGGGCAGGCTCACCAGAAGCCCACGCTCCCAGTGCTGCCTGACAGCACTAAATTGTGCCCCGGGTTTTGGTTTCATACATTTTGCTTCTGCCTCTGGAGGTTCCATACCAGACACATTTTCCATATGCAATTAAGTAATGGTGAGTGAGTTGTTGTACATGACATTTAATTTTCAATAGCTGGGGAAAGTAACACAGGAGCTGCAGGCAAGACCATTAATCTCCTCTAGATCCTCTGTGCTGCCAAGTATAGCAAGTCATTCTTCACCGAGCTAATGCTGCTCTTCCATCATTTCTGTGTATGCTGTATCAGACAGAGCCATGCGAGCAAATGTACACATTTATATGCATTCATCCACAGATTATTACATTGTTCACAGGTAAGCTGAATATGAGCAAAGAATATAAACCAGTATCAACTGTGATGTATAGACTGGTGAGAAGACCGCATTAATAAACTGGAATGGTTGAAATTGATAGTGCCAATGGAAGCCACCCCTGGAACAGTGGCATTCATGAAGGTCCAATATATTAATGTTGGACCTTCAGCAGTCCTGAGATGAATAGTCAAGGAAAACCTATATTTCATACCACAGAGAACTGAGTAAGTTTAGCAATTTCAGAACAGGCTGAGCAGGTCAGTTATATGTGCAGATACGTAACAGAATAGGCTGAAGCATGAACAAATGTTTTGATGAGAACTGTTCTTACCGTATGAAAACTAGCTTGACCTTTGATGGGGCAGTCTTAATTATTGCAGAAGCATTCTGATGACTTCTTCCATACAATATCTGATTGTTTATCTGTTCAAAGGAAACAAAAGTTTCATGTAAATGGAGTTCCAAAATAAGTATGCATTGTTTCAATTTACACCATCAAGGCACCAGGACAAGGAGACAAGATGCTAAGAAAAAGTGGGTCGTGAAATACAAATCACAAACCTTGAGGCTTTTACAGACAGGAATACTGCAGAAGTACTGACAGATAAACCCATCTGCACAGTGCTGAAGAGACAGAAACACTGGTGTTGAGGCACTAAGAGCTGCTTTTGGGCACAGCTCTGCCGCAGAAACACCATATGACAAACACACAACAAAGGCTGTCACCATCAGCCAGCCACAGGAGAAGGATAAGGAGAAGGAGAAGGAGAGGCAACACTAACACCTTCACATCAGGTTTCTCATCGTTCCTTTCGAAAGGCAGGCATTAGTTAGATTTCAAGTTCAACCTCCTTCTCCTGCTGGTTCCTGGATGGACCACAGAATTGCAGAACTGATTTTTAAGATATTACATTTTCAACATCATCAAGTCCAATATAATGAAAGAAACCAAAACCCACTGTATTAGCAGCAAAGCGTTCCACATTTTATTCTAGACCAATATAAAAGAGTAAGCAGTGCAGAGCTAATTTAATGCTATTAGTGACCCACACCTCACCTGCAGGTAACCAGCAGTTCAGGAATTAGATGAGACAGAAAGGCCAGTTTCAGAATAGCCCACGTTACTCTTGCTGTGAACAATCAAACACCTAACCACTGCAACAAACACCAGGTACTGCTTTGAATGCCATTTCTGAGTGTGAGCCAATCCTGTAGTTTTCATGGGGAAACAGCACGGCCCTCAACACCCCCCATGGCCTTCAACACCCCCCTGGCTGCATGAGAACAGAAGACCTTTCCCACTTTGAGGGAAATCAGGTGCCTGCTGTCTTCCATTGCCACGCTTGGCAAGTGGCACCTTGACAATCACAAGAGTAGCTCCAAGGTGAACCAAAAACATACTAGGCATCCTATCTCAAGACCACCCGTGGTGTAACATTTGAAGTGTTTCATTCACCTCCCAGCAGCTTGGTGCAACCCCGTGACCCTGCCTGCTGGCAGCCTGGAGATGCTGACCTGACAGCAACGTGCAGCCACAAAGGCTGTAAGCAGAGCAGGAGGCAGCCAGATGTGCCACGCCAAATGTAAATGAAGGAAAAGCTGAGCACCATGGCAAAAAGAAGGCTGCGCCAAGGAGACAAACAGCAAAACCCTCAAGGAGCCTCTCAGCTGCATCCTGATGGTTTTCAGGTTTAGAACTAAGCTGAACCAAACACACAACCAAACACTACAGTGAGGATGAATGAATCGGTCTCCAATTCTGACAACTCAGACTGGAATAAACATGAAGGTAACGCTGCTCCGTGGAAGAGCAATTTTTACCTGCCTGCTACCAAACCCAAGGCAAAGCATTTTGTTATACGAGCAGCTATTCTGTTCCAGATGGAGAAGAAAACAATGTGAATACAGAAACTAATTCAAGGCCACATTTCTATTTTGTTAAAAAAGATGGCATTGAGATGAGTAGCATATATCACGTAACTGTCAAAAAACCCTCACTGGGAGCATCTTGATTGGATTAGTGCACCTCAGAGCTGCTGCAATCCCACGCCCCCCAAAGCGAGCAGCCCGCTCCATGCAACCCTTCGTCTTTTCCTCCCACTCTTCCTTTACAACATAATATTTACATTCACATTTGATACACCAATGCTGCTTAAAACAATATGGATAATGGACCCCAGGAACAATTTACCAGCGATTACAGCAGGGCTTCTCATTACTGGAAATGTTTGTGTTGGATTGCGGTTTTGTGTTCTTAGAAGAATTTTTCACCCAACGAAGAAACAACCTGCCAGCCTTACAGCCTCGTGTCAGCAGTTCAATAACCAATGTGAGCACAAGAATCATATGCCCAGTGCCTGATTATTCACATAGATTGACCTGCAAACAATTACCAGCCCACGTCTGGCTCAGAACCTGGGGCACAAAGAATACCTGGGCTGAGCTTCACCTTCCTGCACGCTTAGTGATGTCATTTGTCTCAGTCCTCCAAAGAAGTTATTTGCTGGGAACGCTGGATGCCTTACTAATTGTTTGTATTTAGTTACATTACCATCAATTTTTCAAAACAGCAGGCTTCTTCGATTAAAATTTATAGTCTTTACTCTGGCTAAATTAATGCTATTCAGTAGATACATCAAATAGTCCAAAATTTAATTAGCTCTGAGCTAGGTCTGTAAGTTATAATTATTTAATTATACCAAAATGAAAGGGTAATCAAAGTAATACATCTCCACAAGGTTTTGGACTGTTTCACACAGCTATTACAGCCAGGATTTGTAATATTTGTATTTCTTTACAAAAAGGTCACTTTCTTTCGCAAAGTAAATCAGTGACACTCCAGGTTCAGATACCACAGAGAAGAGCAAAGCACAAAAGTTTCCTTAAATAAGACAAAAAGGGGGAGTCCAGGGTTTCAGCAGCAGCGTCATTTTAATCTTTCAAACTAAATAAAGGATCAACCACAGAGTGCCTCGTGAGTCAAATGCTGTCCGTCTGAGCTTCCCTGGACGCCCCCCTTTAAGATTAGAAAAGAATAACAAAGGTTTGACCAAACAAAAGAGAAAGCCGGGGGGAGACCTCATTGTGTCCTTCCAGTATTTAAAGGGAGTTTATAAACATGAGGGAAAACGACTTTTTATGGAGGTAGATAGTGATAGGACAAGGGGGAATGGTTTTAAACTAGAGGACAGGAGATTTAGATTGGATGTCAGGGGCATGTTTTTGACCGAGAGAGTGGTGAGGTGCTGGAACAGCTGCCCAGAGGTTGTGGATGCTCCATCCATGGAGGTGTTCAAGACCAGGTTGGATGGGGCCCTGGGCAGCCTGGTCTAATATCAGATATGGAGGTTGGCAGCCATGTGGGTGGTGGGGGGTTGGAACTTGGTGACACTTGGGGTCCCTTCCAACCCGAGCCATTCGATGATTCTATGAAAGGAGGTTGGACTTGATGATCTTTATGGGTCCCTTCCAACTTGGGATATGATTCTATGAAAAGGAACAAACAGATGTAAGCCTCAGCTCCTTGTTAAGTCTCTTTACATATTGCCTCTTTACATAACTTCATGGAAGGACAGGAGAGCAGAAAGAAATCCATGAGTGCACTACAGTACAAGGTCAGATCAGGATGGAATTAAGTTCCATCCCTGATAAGCCCAGCACAGGCCTACAGCAGGCTTTATCACACATCCCATGCACACAGCTTTGTTTTACAGTTTCACACACAAACACCCAAATTAAGAAAGAAACATTAGCAAAAAAAAAAAACCCAATTGTTTGCTTCTCAAATTTTAACTTGCTGAGGAGGAACATAAAATGTGGGTATTTTAAAAAGAGCACTGTTCTTTTTACTATGTGGCAGTAATGAAAACCAATAAAATGGGTATTATCAGATTTTTATGAAATTCAAGTCAGACAATATTCCAAAGCTAGCCAAAGGAACTGGCGTAGCCTTCTGGAGTTATTATTCCTTTGTAACAACGCATTAGATTCCCTCTAACCACAGGAATCGAAACATGCTGAGATTTAATCAGATTCTCTGAAACAACAGAATAATTTCAAAAAGTTTCTTATCAAATACACCCAAATCCAAAGCAATAGGCAGAAAGAAAACAGCGGAAAGGAAAAATGCTGTTTGGAGGATGGATTCTTTTCTCTTTCCCAGATTTCTCCTGGAAGGGGAACACAAACCTGGGGGTTTGCCCAGGGAGCCACTGGCTCCTCAGCTTCATCCTTCAGCATCAGCAATCACCTCGCAGCACTAGCCTCCACTGATAGCCTAGATGCAAAGCAGTGGCATCTGATATGAAAAGCCAAGAGGCTATTGTTCTGCTGTTACCTTCAGGAAACAGATCTGAGAACAGGAACAGAAGCTGAGAGTGTTGTCCTGTAAGTAGGAATTTAAAAGGTCACCACCAGAGTTAATCATACAGGACTTTTCTTACGGGAGAGCCCTTCTTACCATGTTCAAGCTATTGCTGCTTTTGACAGCTGGTGCTGCTTGGTCCAATCCAAAGTAATTATAAATCCCACAACAAATGAATAGAGTAAAATACCAACCTGTCTCCATTCTAAGACAGAAGTGGCACGAGTTTGGATGGACAGCTCATTTGTTTGGGCAAAATACTGACATATCTGATGTGTAGCATCACTTCTATTTATCTAAGATTCTTGTAACAAAATCCCAGGAGAAGCATTCAGCACAAAGGCCCTCTGGCTTTGAGGTACCACCAACACAGCACTGCCATGAATCATCTCAAGCACTGAAGGTGGCTCCTTTCAGGAGTGCTGCATCCTCTGCTGCTTCCTTGCAGCGAGATAAGCAGGGCCAGGAGGGAGGCAGAGAATCCCAGCATCAGTAACTCAGCACAGCAGGGCTCTGTGCAGCTTGCTCCATTAACAGAACACGTTGATGTAAAATAGAACAACGATGACAACAGTCCTAGGGTGGGTTATTCAGTGTGAATAACACGAAGCAATGGGGCTCAGCACCCCAAGACACCATGCAGCGTGGACACCTGCACGAGAGCGGTGGGCCAGGCAGGGGCACTGCAGATGGCATCTCTGATTGGAAAAAAACCAACAGATCAGCACGGCTTGCATCATGTTAAAAATTACATTGTTCTGTGCAGGGTGCACATTCTGCCCTGACTACGAAAGGTATGAGAGGATGACATCACCATCTCCCTCCAATGGCACAGCCATCCAAAGTACATCACTTAAGACTCCTACTCAAAACTTATGTGCAATCTGAGGTGCAGCAATAAATATATTTAAAAGATTCTGCTGGAAAAGAGTAGAGGGTTGTCCACCTGCTGACAAACAGATGACAATTTGGGTGGAAAATGGCTTCAAATGCTACCAAGTGCTTGCCAAGCCCCAGAGCTTTCTATCAGAGGACAGCAGTCAGCCTGCAGGCAGAGCCATGCAGGGAAACACCACCCCAAGGAACAGAATTTGGTTCACCAGCAACAGGCAAGGAATCATAGGAGCATTTCTGCACCTAAAGGCTGTACTCATAGTCCAACTCTAAGCCTTTAGCTGGAGAAACCCAAACAGCCTGGATCTGCTACCTCCTACCTTGTCAATGCTTCAGTTAACCAATAGTGCTCTTCTCACACTCTGTTGTTTTAACTGATGCTGCAAGTAAAACCACAGCCCCTGCACTGCAGGCAAAAAAAAAGCAGAGAGCCACATTCCTACCTCAGCAATGGTAGGCTTCTCAGGTATTCCTAATGGTGACTGAACTGGTCATTGAACCCAAGTTATTAAAACAGACTCTGCCAGTGTAAACGCCCATTAGTTTCATTTCAGTGCTGCTCACATATAACACTGAAATGCTTTCAAAGGGCAAAAAAACAGAGCTGTGAACGATTGACCACCGGTGTGAACACGAGACGTCTGCACATGAGTAATGCGCAGCCTTTGTACTGCAGGATGTTTTGCCACGGGATACGTACCCACCGGGGACCAGAATGAGATCACCACATCCTTTCACACAACTAACCACACTTCTGCCCACCAGTGACACTCCTCCCATTTGATGGCAAAGTTCACCGAGAGAGGCAGTTACTGAAACTTTGAACTTCGGTTTATTTGAAATGAGACTGCAAATGTCACTCTTTTTTCTTTTCCTACGGAAGAAAAACAACACTTTATCTCCATCTTGGCAGGGAGAGGAACTAGGGCAACGCAGTGTTTTTGGAAATGCTACTCACAACATGGCTCATGCATGTAAATCCTGAGCCTCAAGGTACATGTGATTAATCACAGATGGTGCATCTTTCAAGTACGGTAATATTTAACATGAGATCAAACACACGCCACGAGGAATAACTCATGAGAATAAGGAAATCTCTGTGGATCCTTCTTTGTAAGGAAATGCATCGATATGAAAAGCTCTTTCATGTCTCTCCTTTACTACCTCTTCTACGACATACACAGAGCAAAGCAGTACCTTCCAGTTGGTGTACAGCGACTTCCAATTGCTGTACACCCAGAATTCAGCAATTTGACTTTTTCCAACTATTAGAATCAGGTGCCAGGGAAAGAAAACTAATTTGAAGGAGAAAGTCATTTACCTATACTATTTCAGCAAGGCACAGACCTTCATACCATTCATCACACTTGAAAACATAATAATAAACTTTAGATGGTGCTATTATTATAGCAAAACAAGCCTTTCTTGAACCATGTGTATTGAAAACCCGTAATTATAGAACTGCTGGAAAATGACAAATGCTTAGAGATTTCTGATTGCTCCCGAGGTATCCCCAGGCATTCCAATTGCTTTTTTTCAAGTCAAGAAATGTGAGGAAATTATTGGATCTCTGATGCCGCTGTGAGTTGCTGAAAGATCAGAAATCACCACCCACAGATAGCAGTGGGCCACCGTACACCTGCTCTTTGGTGAAGGCTTCCTTCTAGAGGAAAGATCCCAAGCAATGGCTAATTTTTTAAGCTGCTGAAGCAATCATGACATGGGAAACCACTGCAGGTACTGCAGAAAAGTGCTGTTTTGGAACAGCCAAAAATCACGAGATACAGCAAATCTATCCAAAATGAAGAAAGGAGGAAAAAAGGAGACAAAATACCCTACAAGCTGCTGAGCTCTCTTGCCTTGTGTTGGATGTGACTAAAGAAAATAAGCATTCTAACTTACACCGGAACGAAACAGATTACAGCATGAGATTTTAGCTTATTTTCAGAATGGGGGATATCCCTGTCATCTGTACAAACACATATGGTAACTTTGAGGGTGTTCCGATTTTTGTTTCATAAATGCAAGGTGTGAATTTTCTTGCAAAACCACACAGGCACTACAAGGACAGATTTACTATTCTCTGCCTGCCTTTCAGCAGTCCCTCGCCGTGTGTAGCTTGTGAACATGCTGAGAGCACAGACCTCACTGACAAGACATTAGCTTTCACAGGCCAATGATTTTTGTTTTGCCGAGAACACATTTACCTGCCAAAGGCCAAGTTCTCAGCTGGCATAAATCAGTGCAGTTCCTTCCCTTAGCCACCTAATTCCACTCGCAGGCTTTATTTCTTTACTTAAGGTTCAAATGATAGCCTCACATATGCCTCTCCCTCTCGCCATATGAGCCTTATTTAGTAGTTAAAGGAAACACTCACCTCTAGAAGTTCATCACCAATATGCATCCTTCCATCCCGTCCTGCAGGTCCATCTGGATTGATACCAACTACAAAGATGCTCATACGAGATCGGTCCTTGTTGCCAGCAAGGCTCAGCCCAAGCCCATTTTTGTCTTTCTCAAGCTCAATAATGTGCAGCTCTCCTGGTAGATCTGCATATCGTTGCCTGATTTTTTCTGCAAAGGTCAAGAAACATGAAGTTACAAGATGAAATAACTTGCATGTAGATTCTTGAGGGCACGCAGAAACATGCTAGAAGCAGATAGCTTCTCAGTATCTATATTTTAAGAGGTCTTTCCAGCACAGAATCTGAAGTGACATACGATGTACCTAACCCCTGTGTTGCCTCCACAGATCATGTCACCAAGAGAGATAACTGAGACCGCTCATAGTTGTGCATCTTTAGCCTGGGTGACTTTGGACTGTTGCAAACCACCCAGCTGTCTTGATATCACTAACACTGCCAAAGAAGAACACTGCCAAACACAAGAACTACACTGCTTTATTTATACAACAGGCTGGTCCTGAAACAAGAATGTTTTGAAAGAGCAGAAATGAGGGAATTCCAATGTCACCCCAAATTTACCTCATAAAAACTATCAATTCAGGCAACTTTCAAAGTCAGAGCTGGTTAATTAACCAGTGCAGGCAGCTGAAAAGCCTACGTTATAGACATACTGCAAAGTCACATCTAAAAATACAGCCTTTTATTGTGCTTCTTTCTGGTGGTTCAGGAATATGCTCCCAATGCTCTGCTTACCTTTATGTGCCGCTGCGTAGATGATTACTCAAAACAGATGTCAGTGGCAATGCCCATGACCGATTATGTTTTTAGATGATATTAAGGCAGTTACTTGTCTTTCATCTACATTTCAACCATTTCTGTGACAGAATCCAATACACTCACAAAGTTATTTGGAGCACAGTGTGTGCCTGTGGAAGCGAGTACGCTTACGGTTCAAGTTGAATGTCTTCTGTTTTCAGCACTGGCAGACAAACGTTTGTTACTTGTGCTTGCATGCACAGCAAGGGTCATTTTTTTGTCTGTTTGATCATCCTCTGCAGCTCTGAAAGGCAGCTCCCCAGCCCCACCCGCATCCCACCCTATGGCTGGGCCATGCTTTATAAATGCAGCTTGCTGTGTTTTGCTGTGACTGGGGATCACCTTCAGTATAAAGCCCAAGGTGAAAGAAACTGCTGCATTATGCATTAAGGAGAGCGAGAAGAGATATTACATGCCCAGCCATATCCCTGAGTCAGCAGCTGCAAGAGCAATATTAGCTATTACCATTCCACCGCAGGGAAGCACGTTTCGATAGCACGATTTAAGCACGTTTCCATGACAACACAGGAGAGGGGAAGGAGCTGGGGAAGGTGAGAGAGAAGCATCCCAAAGTCAATAAAAGCTGGAAGAAAGAGGACAAAGTAGAAGAGAGCGCAGCACAGCCCGCGTGCAGGCTGCTAAGTGACCGTACCATCCCAGCTCTGCTCTCAGGGTCCTTTCAGCAGATTTCCAGCTGCAGCAGCCCTTCCAATTCAGCACAGACAGAGGAATGCACTCTCACCTCCAGCCCATTTGCACCCCAGGGCATGCCCCATGCTCCGGGCAGCATGGCAAGAACCAACTCTCCTGCTGCTGTACTTATGGGCATCTTCCTGCCTTGCCCAAATCCTGGTGGCCTGAGCCTAAAAGTCTGGGAGGCGTGTGCTAAGAGCTAGACATTATCCCCGGAGAGTTGAACTTGTAAAGCTACAAGTTCAGAGGTCTGCACAAAATCAGAATATCATAACAAATCATAAACCTTGCTTGTTACTATCAATTATATGCTAAAAGTTCATTGAACTGCACTAGACAGTAACCTATGCAGATGCGTGGCTCTTTAATATATTTCTGAACTAATGGGGTCAAAATGTAATTAGGGGAGTGATTTGCTACTCAAATTTTGAAAGCATTATTTTCCTGCTTGGAATGCAGGATGCCTCCTGCCAGAAAGCAGCAAGTGAGGAAGGTCTCAAAATGATGCTCGTGGAAGCACAGCAGATGTGAGCAGAGCCACGCACGTCCTGCTCTCACCACCATAGTTTCACCTTCTGTTGCCATTAAGCCACTCCCAGCCCTGATGGCCACGCAGTTGCTTCCTGCCTACCATAGCTGGAGAGCAACCCAGACAGGTTAGATGTTTCTCAGTTGTAAGAAGAGGACAGCAGCAGAACTAAGTTTCTTGGAGAATGCGCTTCGTTGGACAAGAGGACCCCCCAGAGGGACGCTGCTGACCATTGCCCTTGCTGCATGTTATCTGTGGGCAGCACATCTCAATCCCATTTGCTCAGAGCACAGCAAGCATCTACAAGTACGCTGTCAGCAAGGCGTAATGCACCTGAAAGCTCTGCAGGGCTTTCTCTGCTGGGTGGCGCAGAGTCTGTCTTCTCACTTGGGAAAAAAGCCAGCGGCTCATAAGTACACGTACATTCCTACTCCATCCTGGCATTAGACACAAAATGAGTTTTAGTTCTCCAAAAAGTAGTAGGTGGAACAATTGCCTGGGGTGAGGCAGCCCCAGGGAAGGCTCTGTTGTGCCTGCATGCAGCCAGGCTGGGGCTGACAGGCTGGTGCCCAGCTCAGCACTCCAGTTGCCAGCAGTCCCCACTGCATCTCGCTGCCAGCCTGGCAGGAGGGCATAATGCCCAGCATCACAGGAGACACCACAGGCGTTCACACACTGATGTGGAGGGACAAGCAGGGTCACTTCACCTTTAAAGCTGGATCTCCCTGCACTGAGCACTGTCCCATCCTCCAGCAGCAGCACGGTCTGCTCCCAGCACCGCCGTTGTGTTGCTCATCCAGCCTACATTCAGATTTCCTTTGGGTACCCAGCTGATTTCTATCATGCTGGAATCACATTCTCAGTTTGCCTCTTAATAAGAATCTCATAAGATTATTTTAAACAAGTATTTACTGCTTAAACAAACGTGCATCTAAGGCATCTTCTTTACAATGCCTTTTTCAGCTGCTCCCCCCTTTCAGCTGGTATTCCTTTCCAGCTCTCTGCCTAGCACTGGGGAGCCAGTTAGCATCTGCTTTTGCAAAGAATCCCATTATCTGCCTTCATTACCAGATCCCTTACACAAGGCAATTGTAATTCTGTTGTTACTGCTGTACACATGGGACGTGGTGCTTCGTGCTGGCGCTGCGCCGAGCGGTTTCCACGATCGGTGACAACACAACTATCACAACTTCTGCAAACACAGCACCCGTATTTAACCAGCCACGGTTGGATCCTGTTACTTTAGAAATACTGTGCAGACATGATGTGAACTAAAAGCACAGGCACACCGCAGTGATCACTCCCACAATAGCATTCCCCAGTTCCATTAGCAGACAATTACATTTCAAAAGAGAAACCCTGGAAATGGAAGACAACTGCTTTCAAACAATATGCTGTTATGCTGCTGCACGTGTTTCCCTGATTCAGCCGCTATTCCTACCATATAAAATGGAGAGATAAAAGAAATAAATGGGGAAGATATGGCCAGGATATTGGAGTTTGCATGATGTAGTACTGCAACAAACGCACATTTAATCTGTGCTGAAAAAAAACAGAACCAGCTTCCCAGGAAGGCAAGAAGCTCTTTAAATTGCAAAGACATTTAAAGCATCGCAGAAGGCTGGGGAGCCTGTTGCCCAAACCTGCTGAAATCTTCAGCTAAATGAGCTGAAAGGGAGAGGGAGTTCTCTTGAAAATGGTGTCTCTGCGTGATGCAAATTAGAGTCCATCTAGAGAGGTAAAAAAGAGGAAAGAAACAGCTCTGGATGACTCAGCCAGATGATTGGTTTTAGTATCAAGCACTCAGTATTAAACCTGCCCAGGCAAAGCAGAGAGGAAAGAAACGGAGGGTGGGGGGGATGTGCCACAAAAAGAAACAACAGATGAGATTTGTATATAAAAGGTGACGCTGAGGATTTTCCATTCCTTTTGCGTTACCTCAGATAACTATCAGACGTATGCGGCCTCTTGGAGACTTTACCATGGTCTTATTTAACAGCCTGCATTCATTCTAATGGTCTCAGCTACCATTTTTATCACATAGCACATAACCTGGCCACAGTCTGAGGCAGCAGTGCTGCAGCACCACGGCTGCTGGTTCTGCTTTAGTAAAGATAGGCATCAGAATGCAGCCAGCATCCTCCAACAGAGCCAGCCCTGCATATCAAACAACTAATTCCCTTCTTCATTTCACTATAAACATTAAAAAAAAAAAAAGAAGTAGGAAGTCCCTTGAAAGCTAACCCTCAAGCTGTGAGGGCAGCGTGTCTAATTTACTGATTACAATTTACAAGAACCTAAATAAGCATATTTTAAGGGACCGTAATTGAACAAATGGGGTTTAGAATTCTCCCACTACTAATAATATCATAAGCTTATTGTTTTAATCTTCCCACTAGCCCTCTATTCAGCTCCGAGGAGGCAGACAGTTTTTCAAACCTTATCTCAAAAGTGATGCCCTCATCTGTTTTCATAAGCTTCGAACTGACAGAGAGAAGATGATTTCTGTAACGCTTTCTTAAACTCCGTAAAATCACTCGCACTCCTCTCTCAATGACAAACACACGAGGGGAAAATAGGGCAGATCTATTCAAAACTGGCACATCTAAATGGAAGAGCCAGACTCTGTGCTATGGCCACTCCTCCATTGAGTGGTGAGAGGAGGGTGATTACAGCTTTGTAGGTGCAGTTCACAGAATCACAGAATGGCCAGGGTTGGAAGGGACCTCAAGGATCACCAATCTCCAACCCCCCTGCCACATGCAGGGCCACCAACCTCCACGTTTAATGCTAAACCAGGCTGCCCAGGGCCCCATCCAACCTGGCCTTGAACACTTCCAAGGACGGGGCATCCACAACCTCTCTGGGCAGCCTGTTCCAGTACCTCACCACTCTCTGGGTAAAGAATTTCCCCCTGATATCCGACCTAAATCTCCCCTCCCTCAACTTAAAGCCATTTCCCCTCATCCTACACATATCAACCCTTTCAAAGAGTTGATTCCCCTCCCAAAAACTTGCAGTTCTCTGCAAGTTCTCTGGGCTGGACTGGGGCAGCCAAGGGGCTCCACTGAGGTCCAGAAGTTCAGCATCTCCTGCAGTCTCACCTTGAAAGCCACCCCCCCCCCTCCCTG